ATATATATATATATATATATATATATATATATATATATATATATAAACGCGAAATATTAATAATATAATGCAGGGTCCGATAAGGATATAGATAATATAACGATGGAACTCAAATGAAACTCGGCATGACAAGTGATAGTTAACTTTAAAAACAAAATATGCGTAGTCAGTGCTTGGCGTGCCTGGCACGCCACGCGCGCTTTTCCCTTAAAACAACGTTTAACGTTGTAACACGGCGAACAGTCGAGAAACGGAGTGCGCGGTTCCACATTTTTCCAAGTTGATTATCGTGCATTCGAGAGTATTCATGACACTACGGCAGTGAGATTGTCTTGCTGAGGTCATCGTGAACAACAGAATTATACTGAAGGGGTGACTAGCACATTCCATTTTTACGAAATTTAATTGAGAAATATATAATCGCGGAAAGATTGTATTCTTTTTAAATCTAGTCTAACCTAACTTAACTTTCGTGCCGAGTACTTTCTTATCCTCAATTATTCCGAATCGGAAGAAACCTTCAATTGCTGTTGCTAATTAGCAAAATTCTATTCTGTTTCAGGTCTGGCAAAGCTTGCGATGACACGGAGAAGACAAATGAGCGAGCACAACAATGTCAGCATTCGCCGTTCGAGCTCTTTAAATTATTCACGGTTAAAACTCCTGGCCCCTCGCATTGTCTATCTCTTTTTAATGACGTCAGAAGCGAGAAAATGCACGCTAAAAATTCTTGCGAAATACGTTAAAATAAAAAGATATATTCATAAAGTAACACTTGCAATCGATTAAACAAATTTGTAAGATATTCCGTGCACTCCCTCTTTGTTCTAACAATCAATAATTTATCGTAAATTACATACAATTCATCTTCTTAACTTATTTCTTCGCTTATTTCTATTCAGATTAATTTACAATATATTTTTTTAGGATATATATTTTCATTTCAATATATTTCGCAAGAATTTTTAACATGCATTTTCTCGCTTCTGACATCATTAAAGAGAGATAGACAATGCCAGGGGCCAGGAGCCTTAATCCAGGATAGGAATTTGCAGTATTCGCTCCTCGATCATCGTACCGGGATTATCATTATATAAGAGAAATCGAATGGGTATAACTATCACATTCTATTTTTATTATATTTGAAAAGAAAATACTATTATAACTTCCTATTATTATTCTTCATTTGTACGAAGCGAACAATCGCTGCATTATTGTTACTTTTTTTTTTATTTAAGGAATTATTTTTTATTCGAAATATATATCTTTCATACTTTTAGATATTTTAACAATTTATGGTCATTAGATTTTAATAATTGATAGTCGAATAATGAACAAAAGTTCAAGAAATGCTATCGCTTGAAACACGTACTATATATAAATATTATTTTACACTGTGCGAAATATCAATATTATAATCTTCGTATCTAAAACTTTATTATCTTCAATTATTCCGAATCGAAAAAACTTCTAACTGCTGTTATTAATTAGTAAAATTCTATTTCAGATCTAGAAAAGTTTACGGCGACTCCGCAGTCAATCATCATTCGTCGTTTTCGAGCTCTTCAAATTATTCGCAGTTAATCCAGGACAAGAATTTACGGTATTCGTGCCTCGACCACCGTGCTAGGATTATCTTGCAGTGTCAGAGAATCGTGAAATATAATAGGTATAACTATCACACACTATTTTTATTAGAATTAGAATGGAAATACTATTCTTCGTATTTTTTATTCGTACAGATCGAATATCGCTACATCATCTTTACTTATCTAAAGAATTATTTCTTACTAGGAATAAACGCCTTTAATACTCTTGAATATTTTAATAATCCACAGTCATTAGATCTTAATAACCGACAGCCGTGTAATGTATAAAA